TAATCTCCGCGGTGATTCACCGCGGCGGCTGCTTTCCTTCACGGCGCACAATGGCCATTATTTAATTCGTGCCGTTCGCGTCCGTTGTTCGGGAATTGCCGTCGAGCCGCGCGCCGCCGGCTCGCGCTGACTCACGACGAAACCAGGTGACCGTCGCGATCGCGTGATCCCCCGGGCACCAGGTGCCGCCATTATCGCTTGCCGCTTGATAAATTCCGTCCGCGGGAATTATTAATCGAGGCGTACCTACGGCTTTAACGAGTCTATTCCGGCCGATGCGCTCGGAGCCCTTCGCGTTAGGGTCTTCTTTTTACCCTTTGCGGACGAGTGTCGACATTTGCTGACGTGGAAGCTTTGGAATAATATGTTGCGGATGATTGAACGACTCGACAGAGAAATCGGTTGTTTCCTTATCCTCTATTTCTTAACACGCTGAATGCCATGGGGGTCACCGGTGATCAAATCGAATTACTATAGTTCACTCAATTAAACCACTGTATTATAAATAATGCTAAGTAACGAGGTCATATTCAGCTAGACGAACCTGCAAGAATAACAGTGCATTTCAATCGAATGGTTTAATATTGTATTTCTTACATTTCAAGTATTCTGTACCATGAAATCGTGCGGCATTCAACGTGTTAACACTAGAACTACTGTAACAGTCAAAATGACTGGTTTCGGTTTGTTTGTTTCGCAGGTATTAATATCTTAACCCTTAGCACTCCAGATGGTTTTGTAATCTATCAGCAATTTTTATGGTATCTCTAGTGAAAATGAAAAATGCTGTAACGTACCTTCGATCTTTTAATAGAAATCTAATAATTAATAATAGAAAATCTAGTAATTTTAGGGTAGTTCCTTTGATTCATTATAATATTTAGTATTATGACTGGTGCAATATTGGAGCCTACAGAGTTCAAAGGGTTAAAAGCATTGTGTCAAATCATTGACTCTGGAGTGCAAAGGGTTAAAGAATCATCCCCAAACGGTTAAAATCGTCTGGATGCATATCTCCACCATGGAATTGTCCAAACAAACGGAAGTCGAGTCGAATCGCGGAGATAATGACGAACTCGCGGAATTTCTGTCTTAAGACTGTCCCCGGATTTCACGGTCGGCAATTCCCGGACAATTCCGCGAACCGGCAATTCCGCGGCTCGATAATTTCTCGTATTACGTCGTTACTTTAATCGCTCCGCGGTCCGATCGTATGACGACCGAGCAATTCCACAACTGGCAATTACACGTCTCGAGGATCACGACTCGAAAAGCCCACGGCTCAATTACTTCGTAACGCAACTTCGCGACCGAACGCTTCTCGAAATTGAAATCGGCCAAAAGGAACCAAGAGAACAACGTCCACATTCACGACTTCGATATCAATCCGAAACAAGGTGTCCGATATCCGCGCCGCTATCCCCGAGGAGATTAAGACTTGCTCTCGAGCGGAAAAGGTGCAGGCTGCCGGGCGCGTTCCAGGCTTAAAATTAACGGCGTAAAGTCACGTTCGTATCGCGAGGCCGATCGAAAGCAATTTATCCTGAACATGTGCCCGGGCAATTATTTTCACCGTTGTTCGGCCCTGTTGATCGCGCGGATCAACGGAGGGAAAGAGAAAAGAGAGAGAGAGAGAGAGAGATCGACGCGCGAACAAGTCGAGACAACGCGAGCCGCGAAAGGGAAATTTTCCATTGGCGAACGCGATCGTATCGCCGGCCCGAACAAATATTTTCGTTCCGCTCGTGGGCAGAACTTGATCGCGGCCGGTTCGGTCTCGCGTTTCTCGAGGCTGATTTCCTCGCCGCGCCGCACGCCTGTCGCTCTCGGAAACGATCGTGTTTGCTCGAGATTCGCGGGCCTGCATCGTAATTTCGAGCTCTCTTCGGTGCATATTTCTTTCTCTTTTTGTGTTTGTATTTCTTCCGACGTGATCTCCTCACGTGCTTTGTCTCGCGCTTGTTCCAGGTGTCGTTCAGCTACTCCAAGGGCCCCAGGGACGAGTGGAACATCTTGAAGATCGATGGCTTCGACATGAAGGACGACCCGAAGAGGTACGACAATCAGATTGATATGTGCTCTTATTTCGTTCTTTCTCTGATTTACGCTTTATTCTTGCATTGTTACTCTTTTCTTTTTTGGTAATTGGTAGATCGTTGAACGGACGCCATCGTTGATTTTGATCGTTGGTTTCAGTGGGAGATCAAGTTGGTGGAGTTCATTGGGAGTTTTATATTTCGAGGGTAGATAGATCGTTGATTTCAGCGGGATTTCAATTGTTTCGTAAAAACAAGAACTTTGAATTGCAAATAATCCAACTTCAAGATTTACTAAACGACAAAAGGAAAAATAAACAGAATAAAAGGCAATGCGTTGCTAAGTGAAAAATGTTGGATCTCCCCATTCGGTTGGCTAAGTGTTAACACTAGGTTTACGGAGCGCGTCTGACGCACATTGAATTTTGTAAACATCATTTGGTAGATTTTACACGAATATACATCCTAACTGTCTATTTTTAAATTTATAATTTTCAAAATCTAAACAAGCGAATGTCAGCTGTTCTAGGAACCATAGAACAAACTACAATAAATGTCCGTGAACCTAGTGTCAAGGATTCTACAGGATTTACGTGTACCTGACAAATGCGCATTACATTTCATATCCGACGACGCGTCGAAGTCCACGATCTACCAATTAGTAAGACCACAGGCATCGCGAAAGTTCCCGTCACACTTTCTCCAAAGCTGTAAATCCCACTGTATCATCCGATCAAATTAACTACTGTCCGCACTGTAGTCCTGATATCAAGCGACAGAAGGATTCGAGAGTTATTCCAGTGATTAACGATTTGCCCTCCAGAAGCGCCTCTCTCGCTAATTAATTCGACACAGTAACTTCGTGAAGTTTCATATTTGAACTTTTATAGCGTTCCCGGACGAGCCTCCAAGTTTATAGTGGTATTACTATAGATGGATCTTCGGTAATCGAGAATTAGGAATAAATATATATATTTAATGAAATATGGAAACAACACAGACAACACGTAAAAAATACAACTCTTACCACTCTTTTACAGACATTCTCTCCCAAAAATCATTCTCTCCCCCACAAGCATTCTTCGCACTCATCGCAACCACTCGGATGCACCCCTGGAAAGCTGGCCCTGCAGTTTTGGGTCCGCGACGTTGCAGGCCACTTTTCCTCCACCGTTTTACAGTCTGTCCTTCACACTCATTCTTACATTCACTCTTAAAAATATTTTAATCTACGCTAAATATTCTAGATAAAAGCGCTTTATCTCAGAAAATGTTCCCCCAGCCTTACATAGTCTGGCTGGGGGTGATACATGGTAGCGCCTTTAAGGCGAAGGCAAAATAGTTAATATAATTCTATAGTGTCTGTCACTATTTTCAGATCTCTATCTGTGGCGGCTCTTGTACATATTCTAAATATTCTAGATGCTACACTTTGTACATCGTGCGTCGTTACGTTCGACGTTTTCCCATAGTGGAAAGCAAAAGTCCGCGGACCTTCCTCAATCCCACGGGACCCGTCCGCCGGTTTTACGATCGGCTCGCCGGGGAGACTTTAAAAGGAGTAATTAGCGGCCGCGCGCAGCGGAGTATCTTCCTCCTTGCGCCGCCGCTGTCTTACCCGACACGTTCTTCGTCAGGTCTCCCGTATCATTTTCCCGTTTCTTTGACCCGCTTCGCGTCTTCCCTCGGCGGCGTTCCTCCGTAAACGCTTCAATTGCCTGTATAATTGGCCGAGCCGTGTGGCTAGACGATGATGCACCGCGCGACGGTGCCCTGGAACAGAGGAAGAGCCGGCGAACGGATGAACACCGTTGGTAATGACGGAACGTAGCTTTAATCGACTTTATTCTAATTACTGGACGCACACGGTCGCAGCTTTCCGAGTTTTCCAGGGACAATAGGGAATGGAGAGTGATTTCTTGGGTATTATTGTTTGAAGGTTTCTGGTGTTTGATGGGGTCTTTGGGAATGATTGGGGGTTATTGAGGGTTTTATTGTGAAATTGTTTGGGTGTTAGTATGTTGATTAGTGGAGCAAGGTTTGTAAATGGTGTAGGGGATT